ACCAGGACAACGTCTACTCCCCGGACTGCCGCTTCCACTCCTTTAAGAAGGTGCTTTCCGAGATGGGGCCCGAGTACTCCAGCAACGTGGAGCTCGCCTCCTTCCACTCCACCTCCAAGGGCTACATGGGCGAGTACGTGCCCCCCCCACCTCCAGGCTGTGGGGTTCCTCCCACCCCCATTCCCCTCCACCCCGGTGCAGGGCCCTGCGGAATGCGGCCGCGCCCGAAAGGAGCAGAGTGTGCGGGATGCTGCACATGAAAGCACCCCCTGGTAGTTCCCCACGCGGGTCGCAGTTGCTCCGCACTGACCGAGGTGGCAGCCGAGTGAGCAGGTGCTGCCAGACCCGTGGGCGTGGCTTCGTGGGCGCCTGGCCGCAGCTCTGGGGTGGAGAGTCGGCCTCACCCCTGACTGGTCGGCCCCTGATGCTCACTGAGCACCTGCTGTGCATCCAGTACCCACATAGGCTCCGAGGATACAGCCGTGAGCAAACCACAGCCACTCCTGCGCTCACAGAGCTTGTGTTCCACTCAGGAGGGGACAGGTGACGGCCAGATGAATAAAGTCAGGTGTCAAGAGGACAGAAACAACTAAAGAAAAGATGGGAATGCCGGAAGGTATGGGTGGGGGTGTTGGCTTTTGCGTTAAGACCCATAGGAGAGGAAGGAGCCAGCAGTGCAGATACCTGGGGAGAGCGTTTCAGGTGTAGGGACCAGCGTGTGCAAAGGTCCCCAGGTGGAGGTGTTCCTGGCATGTTCGAGCATCATGGGATTGGAAAGAAGTACGTGAGAGGACAAGCGGCAGAAGCTGAGACCACAGAGGTCACAGGAGGCCAGGTCACTTGGCTGCTGAGGTCATATTTTACTTTTACTCAGAGTGAGAAAGGGGTCATCGGAGGGCTGAACAGAGAGGCGACCTCACCTGACATGTTTTATTAGATTCTCTCTGGGCGCTGTGTGGTCAGGGCGGGGACAGAAGCGGGGGCTCAAGTCAGGAGGTTGTGACAGCCCAGGCGAGCCGCCGCGGGCCAGGGGAGACACGGAGGAGACGGGGATCCCCAGTGTTGCGGGCGCAGCTGCCGGGAGTTGCTTGCCGGGAAGGGCGGGCGTGAGACAGAGGAGTTGGGTGATTCTCGTCTTTTCGTTCCAACGGCAGGAAGGGTAGAGGTGCCATCAACAGACAAGGAGGTCATGGGGGAAGCCGTTTGAGGGAGAAAGAGCGAGAGTTGGTTTTGCGCGTGTTGAATTTGCAAACAGCCGTTGGATGTGCAGGTAGACGTGGGTGTGAGTCTGCAGCTCGGGGCCCATATCCCACTGGAGTCTCCGGTTTGGGAGGGAGATGTTAGACAGATCTCTGAGCCTGGATATCTCACAAGGAGAAGTCCAGGGACTGGGCCAAGGCCCTCACCACGCAGACGCTGGGGCAGAGGAGGAGGTGCCTGCGAAGGGGGCCGAGAAGGAAAGGCCAGCGCGTTGCAGCCAAGGGCACTCGTCCCCAACATTTCAGAGGTTCTGTTACCTGCTAGGCGCCAGGATGGTGGAGGGGTCTTGTTTGTTAAGCTGGAGGCTGGTGTAACTGAAGCTTGAAGAAATATTTTGGCCAGATCAAGGGGGCTGTACCCTTAGGATGATGACCCAATTTTCCGTGGCTTTATTTGAGGTGGACAGGGGTTAATTTACGGCAGTCATCCTGGTCTACACCAGTGGCTGTGCCGCCTCTTTGCTAGACCACCATGTGCTGTGTAGCTCTTAAACAAATATCTCTGTTAACTCATCTTTCAAACACCAGTGTGCTTACCACCTGCCTCTTTATCTCTCCATCAATCTCTTTTCACAGTCATTCCCCTGGACGTTGGACACCAAATTAGGACGCATGGTCCTCAGATCCCAATAACAGGTGTATAGACAGATTTGCTCCACTTGATTCTCTGCTCATCGGCAGACGATTAAGCGGGAAGTTCTTTCGACATTTGTTATGGGAAACCGTTCTGAGATGCCAGAATTTGCCTTCTCGCTTTGGAAAGTCAGTCGAGGCATCAGAAGGGGACCTGTCTTTGCCAGTTCAGCCCTGCAGCCTGATTCCAAGAGCATCTCGTTGAGTGCGCCCTCGCTTCCGGGGCTCTGAGGTTTAGGGTGTGGGGGTGCAGAATGGGTAGACCATGTCTCCGCCGCGGGTGCCTGCGTCTGCACAGTCGTTAGTCTGAACTTGATCAACCGCAGCCCAGAGGAGGAGGCAGAGCTCCAGAAAGTATGACAGAGAGAACTGACTGGGTTCTGAAAGGTGTTATTAGTTTTAACTCATCGCACGTCAGCTTTTTTGCATGTGATTTGACTCTGTCCCTCAGCAGTAAGTAATGGAAACTTGCCTTGAACCGGCCTACGCCAAAGAGGCTTTAAAAAAAATCCGTTATCAGTAAAAAGTGCAGGGGTAAAGTCAAATCGGGCTGAACGGTGTCGGGGGACTCTGTTACTGCTTTTCTGCTTCGTCTCATTTTATTTCTTAGCTTCGCTCTCCTTTGGGTTGAGGGGGTCTTCAGGCAGCAAACAGTTCCGGTAAAAGTCCCAGACTGATACTCGCTGGCACCAGCGAGTCACCTGCCTACCCCTGGAGCCTGTGCAGGGGGCTGCAAGGCCTGAGTCATGTGCCCCTTTAGAGTGGGGGCCAACGTATTAGTTAGGGTTCAGGCTAAGCCGCTATAATAAAAAGGCCCCGAAATACAGTGGCTCAAACAAGATGCAGGTGTACCTCTCTCTGACCTAACAATCCCAAGGTAGGGGGTCCAGAGCTCCACGAGGTCGTTCAGGGATGGGGGCTGGTGGCATGGCCTGCCTTCTCCGCACGTGGAGTCCACCTCCAGCACCGAGGCTTCTGGCCAGTGGGAAGAGGAAGGAGAAAGGAGAGAGCGTGCTTCTTCCTTCGGAGGAAGTGATGTAGAATTTGTACATATCACTTCCGTTCACCTTGGCAAGAACTCGGCCACACCTGGCCACTCAGCGTCGGGTGTGGGGATGGTTACAGAAGCTTCCGGCTGGCCGGATTGCACTTAGCTGAGGTCTGTCTTCCCCGCTTCAACCCTCCAGGTGTGGCTACAGGGGAGGCTACATGGAGGTGATCAACCTGCACCCCGAGATCAAAGGCCAGCTGGTGAAGCTGCTCTCTGTGCGTCTGTGCCCGCCAGTGTCTGGGCAGGCCGCCATGGACATCGTCGTGAACCCCCCGGGGCCGGGAGAGGAGTCCTTCGAGCAGTTCATGAGCGTGAGTGGGCTGTGTCCTGGGCCATGTAACCAGTCGCGGCGGCCTCCAGGGGGCGCCCTTGGAGCCTGACGCACCCCCAGGGGGTTAGGTCAGAGGATGGAGCCGGGGCATGTTTTGAAGTGGGAACACTGTGCATGCAAGTGGACGTGGGGACCCCTTCCTCACCGTGGGCACCCTGGGTGGCCAGGCACCCGGAGCGAAGGGCCTGGTGTGCTGATACGCCGGGGACTCTGTTACCAGACTGGAAAGTGTGACATGGCTTTATCAGACGCCGTCATAGCTCGAAACAATCCAGCCAGGCCCTTCCAGCTGCAAGTGACAAAAACCCAACTCTAACCAGTTTGACCAAAAACGGAACGTGTGGGCCACGTAGCCAAGAAGTCAGGTCCCAGCCGTTCCAGGCTCATGTCTCTTTTTGTGTGTGTGGAAAAATCCACGACATAAAATCGGTCATTTTAACAACTCTAAACTGAACACGTTGCGGCATCAAGTACTTCCCCATTCGGTGCAAGCATCCCGAAGTGAAACTCCGTCCGATGGGACATCGCGTCCCACGCCTCACCCTGCAGCCCTGGCCACCGCTGCCCTCCCCCCTGGCTGGGAACCCGGCCTCGCTCGGTCCCTCGCAGAATGGGGTCCTCCCGCATCCGTCCCCCTCACCCCTCGGCATGACGTCTCCCGCGCTTTTCCCTGTTGTCGCTCCCGTCAGGGTTCGCTTCCCTTTCACGGCCGAGTGACACCCCGCTGTGGGGACAGCCCGCACTTGTGTCCCCGTCGTCTGCGGGCCGCCCCTTCGGATCCTCCGCTCCAGCTTTGGGCACACGTCCAGCTCAGAGCCCTGGGCACAGCACATGGAGTGCGAGTGAGGAGGGGCGGCCCCCAGAAACGAAGTGGCGAGGCCATCTCCTCGCAGCGTGTCCTCGGACGGTCCATCCAGAGCCAAGGCCAGTCAGACCACTGGGCACGGACTGCTGGTTCTGGTCTTCAGGAACGACATCCTGGCAGGAGAACAGAACCCCTGACCCAGGCTCCCCGGGACCTGCCTGTGGCCTGGGACCCCCTGTACTCATGTGCCCTGCGCTCCAGGGCACGCGGCAGCCTCGAGGGCTGAGCTCGCGCAAGAGGCTCCTGCTTCTTGCCTTTCCCGTCTGCCCTGCTTCCCTGGTGTTGAAGGGATGTTTCCGGTGGCCAGGCCATTCCACGATGTCCAGAGAGGCTGACTCCTTTGCTTCCTCTGTCCCATCAGGAGAAAGAGTCTGTCCTGGGCAATCTGGCCAAGAAAGCGAAGCTGACAGAAGACATGTTTAACCAAGTCCCGGGAATTCACTGCAACCCCTTGCAGGGGGCTATGTACGCCTTTCCGCGGATCTTCATCCCCCCCAAAGCCGTGGAAGCAGCTCAGGTCAGAGGCCCTGGGCCGGGCTGCTCCCCCGACCCAGGTGGGCGCAGGGCTGGGGGCCGCCGTGGGGAGCCATAATGCCGGCCACAGAGGCTCTGAACTTTGTGGACCCCTCGGTTGGATGACATGGGTAGAGATGACAGCCCAAGGCCGGGCGCCTGCGTGCTGTGTCACGCGGTGGGGAGAGGGTAGCCCCAGGTGAGTGGTGCTGCCCTGTGCCCTGGCGAGGCTGGTGCTCCGGAGGCAGGTGCCAGGTGCGACCTGACGCCTTTAAAACCGAAGGCTGGCTGGGCAGGCAGCGAGAGTGCCACGAGGCGCCCGTCCCCACACTGTGCCTTGGAGGTCACTGCTCAAGCCAGTTAAAATTTAGGGCGTCTGGAGGGTCCCAGATCCCGCTTTCGACAAGTCAGGCGATGCCGGCGACCCCCCTTTCAGGGTCCAGGGCCAGAGCAGTGCATCCCAAAGCTGTCCTCACCCCGCACAGCTCAGCACCTCATTAAACGCTGTCTGCCCTGCCCCAGACCTGCTGAATCCGAACCGCGGGTGGGGGCACTGACAGCCCATGTGGCAGGCACCCCGGGTTCTGCAAACCAGGGTTTGGGAAGCACTGTCAACAGTGCCGCCTGGAAGCTTGTTCCCTAAAAGCGCCCCGGGCCCCGCCGTCAGGGGCTCCGTGGCCTGGCGCAGAGGCCGCCGGCAGTGCTGGTGGGGGCGGAGGACGCAGACTGGCCCTGCCGGGGAGCGCGGGCGCACCCCAGCCCATGGCCGCGTTCCCTGCCCCAGCCACCAGCAGCGTCCTGACCGGCCTCGGCCCTCGTGGGCAGCGGAGGGCGGGCGAGAACCTGGTGCTGCCCTCGTCTCCAGCCTGAGTCCTCAGCAGTGGGTTTGTGCAGAGCCGGAGCGAACCCTAAGTTCCGCCTGTTCCCGCAGGCCCATAACATGGTCCCCGACATGTTCTACTGCATGAAGCTGCTGGAGGAGACCGGCATCTGCGTCGTGCCCGGCAGCGGCTTCGGGCAGCGGGAGGGCACCTACCACTTCCGGTACTGCGTCCCCTGGGCCCCGGGGGGCGGGCCGGCCGGGCTGGGGCAGGTGGGCTTCCGAGCCCAGCACAGGCTGGCGGCAGACACGGCGGCGTCCGCAGGCCCCGGCCTCCCCTGACGTCCCCCGCCACCCACCAGGGTCCCCTCCCTGACCAGAACGTCTCGGTGGCGTGTTTTCTTCCCTGTCACCCTGACCCTCCTCGCCTCCGCCACTGCAGCCTGCAGCGCCCAGGTTCTCGGTAGCTCATCCGCGGCACCAAAAACCCGCTGAGGTCCAGTGTCCAAAACACTTACGGTGACGCATTTCCCGGGGCGTGTGGCTGCTCGGCGGGGCTGTCCCCTGAGGCCGGTTCTGTTCAGAACACACCCCCTCCATGCAGGCGCTCTCGGGGGTCCCCTGCAGCAGACATTAAGAAGTGTCACGGGCTCGGTTAGCACCTGAAGCCGTCTCGCCGCAGTCAAGGCCATCCTGGCTGGGCGGACACGTGTGGCTGGCCTTTCCGCTCGGTTATAGGTGAACCTCTGTCGAGGCTCATTCAGAAAGCTGCCTGTAGGGCTGGGAACCATTGGAACAGCACGGTGGGGAGGACTTAGTCACCACGGCAACTCGGGAATCCCTCCAGAGGCAGAGTTGTGACGGGCGTCTTCGCCGGGGACACCGCCTGGCGGAAATGTACACTCCTGTCCAGCAGGAGCAAGTCTTTGTGGGAAACTCAGGGTCGCGCCCCGGATGAGCTGCGTCCCCCGGCAGGAGTGCTCAGGCCTCCGCAGTGACGCCGGCTCTTCTCAGCCCGAGCGCTGCCCCCAGCTTCATCGCTTTAGTCCACACGTGTGGCTCAGGTGTAAAATGTACGAATGGGGGAGAAAACCGGTCCATCGGGGGCCGGAGCTGGGGCAGCGGACCAGACGCACCCGTCCCCACGTGGCTGGCCTGCACACCTCATCCCCACACAAGCGGGCAAAGGCCCAAGCCACCGGGTACACACCGCCCCCTGTCCCAGAGCAGCCGGCGTCCAGGCTGACGCTGCCCTCTCCCCTGGCAGGATCACCATTCTCCCTCCGGTGGAGAAGCTGAAGACGGTTCTCCAGAAGGTGAAGGATTTCCATGTCACGTTCCTGGAGAAGTACGCGTGAGCACCTCTCGACTGACCTCCAGGCCAGGCCGCGCTCACCACCCCAGCGGCTCTGCCTCGGGCCTCACAGCGGCCACTGGTCGTTGTCACTGTCACTTGACCCAGGACACTTCTTTCTTTGTGCCTTGATGTTGGGGACACTTCCCTTCTGAGCAAATGTGAATTGGGGATGTCTCAGAAGCCCTGTTTCCTTTTGATGCTACCAAAGTCTTGGGGACTTGCCGAGCACGTATGGCGGTGTCTCTGAATCCGGTGCTGCTGTTGCTTCGTCTGGGGTGTGACACAGCCGGGCGTGCTGGGCGGGATGTTTCAGATCTGGAGAGACACAAGGTTTTGAGAAATACGTGGCTTACACGGAGAGGACCAGAGGTCCCCAGGTCGCCACCGTGATCTGTGAAATATAACCCTTGGCCGTGTGGAGACCTGGTCCCTCCCCAGAGCCTGGGAGTCCCCCGCGGGCTCAGAGGGCCCGCCCGTCTCTCAGGCAAGAACGGCGAGGCCAAGAGCACCTGGGGTTGCACTGGGTGCCAGGCTGGGTCGCGGTGGGTCCTGGGGGCCACAGCCCACGCTCAGATGTCCTGCAGGGAGGAGCAGGTGTGAGCCAGGCTTTGGGGGCGAAGGGTTGTCTTGAGCATGCTTAGGCTGGGACCCCCATCTGAGAGGTCTCCCTGGGCTTCAGGGATGGAGGGCACAGCCCAGCGAGGCCGCAGTCACGTGGAGGGGTTCTGCCGGTGGCTGTCTGTCCGCCTTGCCAAGCCCCGCCCTCTCCCAAGGGCCTCACTGAGCCGTCGCACACTGCCCTCTGCTGGCGGCAGCGGGGATGCCAGTGGAATCCTGCCCCTCCTCCGTGGGGCTGTTTCAGACGGAGACTCCGTTTCTTAGCCTGTAATTGGCCAAAGTGCCTGGCAGCTCGGCTGCTGTGGACGAGGGCGTGTGATCCATTCGAAGTGTACGGAAGGGTGTTAGCCCAACACAGCGTTTTCCCTCCACATTTGCTGCTGGCTGGCCTCACAGACTCTGCAGCCGGTGTCCTATAACGTCAGCCATCCCTCCGGGCCAGGGGGATGTCGTCCACCAAGCGTGCAGCTTCCCCAGCCCAGCAATCCCGCGGCCCAGCAATGCCCACACCCCTACAGAGTGGGCGCCAGGGCCAGCAGCAGATGTGGCTCCTCCCTCACCGTGACCCCCCTGCAGTGGGCAGTTAGGGAACCCGAGGCCAGCTCAGGAGTTTGGAGACCCAGCAAGCCCCAGAACTGAATGGAAGGAGCTGGAGAGAGAAGGGTAGGGGAGTGAGCTTTGAAATAGCCTCCTGTGCCTGAAGTCTCCGTGTGGGGTCCACGCAGAGGCTGTGATCGAAAACTTCAAGCCGTTGCCACCCGCTAATGCCAGAGTCCCTGTGAAGAAAGCAGCCACACTCTCAAGTAACAAAGGGAACGTTTGGGATCTTTTCCTCCCTTAGAAAAATTGAGGAAAATTAAACTCGTGCCCGTCATGTATAAACCAGGATGTGTCTCAGAGCTGTGAGATTTCTGGAGGAAAGTTTAAATAGAAGCTAGTCTATTTTTTATATTTTTGTAATGATTGCTTTTTTCATGGGGTGGGGCTAGTATTTATAGTCTTAACAAGTCCAGTAGTTTTTTATGAAAATCTTCAGATTATAAGTAACCCCTAAAAACTGCAACGTTTACATGATTTTTAAAAAGATGCTGTATGCTCTTGGTTTGCTTTTTAAAATAAATGGACAAAAACGTAAGGGGCACTGGCTTAGGACGTTAACGCCCTTTGGATAGAAACGCTGATTGTGATAGATTTCATTCTCTACAGATTCTGTCCCCGTGTCTCATGTGGGCACCACCAGAGGAAGTCATCTGTCATTTGGGGTCACACTTTAAATCTACGCCTGTGAAGCTTTCTGTCCGTCTCGGTCCACAGGTGGAGGATGCTGGGCTGTACCTTGGGGGACGGTCACCTTACCTCAAGGCCGGGCCGGTGGTTGTCCCAGGGTGCAAATATGCAGAGAGATAGCTCTGCTGGAAATTTCTAAATAAAATCCATGTCAAAAATGGTGAGCGTGCTTAACTTTGCTTATAGTTTAAATATGAAAATCGAACGGACATCACTAATTGCACATTTTCACTCTGTGACTTGTGTTCCTAGCACAGTAATGAACATTTTCCTCCCAAATACTACAAACTTCAGCCACGGCTTCTGCGCTTCTGTTTCTTTTTAGGACCCCAAGGTGTTTTTGTTGCTCGAGATGGAAAAACTTCATGATTCTTCAAAATAGGATGTTGCCGATAGGAACATAAACCGTGACTTCCTAGTGGAGGTGAAGTAAGAGCTAGGAGCCTCTCCCCAGGGAGATGAGGGGCCGGCAGAGGGGCTGGGGGCACCCGGAGGCCGGTGGGGGCTGGGAATCGTCCGCATGGGCCTTCCCAGAGCCCCGTCAATGTCGACATGTGGTTTTGGGATTCAGAACTATTTTTCATCTGAAACTGAAATGTCTCTGTCTTTATTAAAGAAACTTAGGGCGGGGGTGAAAAAAGAAAAAAAACTTTGGAAAATATTAAAACACGAAGGAAGAAATGAAAACCTACTCAAAGTGTCTTAAACAGGAAGAGGAAGTCCTGGAGGGGAGCTGGTTCGGTTCTCAGGTCCACTCTTAACCGCAAAGCCTGCCTCGTCCGGCCCCGAGTCGGGAAACTGCAGGAAAGGACTTCCGATGGGCTGTGCTGATCCACGAGCCCTTCCCTGAGGCAGCCTCTGGCCCAGGAGAACTGGGCTTTGGCTGGCCCTGCGCTCGCAGTGGGAGGTGGAAAGGGGCTGAGTCGCCAGCCAATCAGAGCCGTCGGGGGAGAAGCTGCCCCACCCCTGCGGGAAGGGGCTGGAGGTGGCCCTGCACAACACCCCTTGTTTACCACTGGTGGGTCTTTAGAGAGGCTAGGGGAGGGATGGCGTGTTCAGGGGGTCAAAGGTCATTATTGGTCGATAACCAAGGACACTGGAGATGTTGTCTGCATCCCTCCTGTATCACACACACACACACACGTGTCTGGGGACTAAACTCAGTATATAGAGTTTGTTACACAGAGTTTATTAGATAGGGATTGGAAGAGACAGTTATCAATTATTCTAGATTGTTTTCAGTACCGTTTGCTGGAACACCTAGATTCGGTAGCTGTGTGCCGGAACCAGCAGCTCGTAAGCCGTGGTCCCGTGTTTGGAAGGCTGATGACATCCCAAGCTCGTAGAATGGGGAAAGCAGCACACACCCTGTCGTTAGGGGTGTGAGTGTGTGTAACCTTTGGGAGGGTATTTTGGCACTGTCAATATTAAATATACACCTACTTTAAAACGACAGTAATCAAAAAAAAATCCACAGTAATTGAGACCAGGTTGTGTCGCTGAAAAGCCAAATAATAGAACAGGACAGAGTTCAGAAACAGTCACCTGCATTTATCACTTTGGCATCGAATACACTACACACACTTACATCCATGTATATCTTTGACACACTTGTATCGACAAAGTCATTTTTGACAAAGCGTACCAACGCGAAGCAATTAAGGAAAAAGTCTTTACCAAATGGTGCCGAAACACCTGGATATACATTTGGGAGGAAAATAATAAACCACCTCTTACCTCACTCAAAGGCAAAATTTGAGTTGGATCACAGACCTAAAATGAAGAACTAACATTATAAATCTTCTAGAAGAAAACTTATGAGTGTCTCTTTGTGTTTGAAGTAGGTAAATATTTCTTAGGACAAATCATAAAAGAAATAATTGATAAATCGAACTACATCAAAATCAAGAACTCCTTTTTAAAGGACATCATTAAGAAATGAAAAGCAAGCCACTGACTGGGAGAAAGCATTTTCAGAACATAAATTTCATAGAAGACTTGTATCGAGAATATATAAAGAACTTTAGAAGCAGGGTTGGGCCTGGTGAGTACTTGGATGGGAGACTACGTCGGAATTAAAAAAAAGATAAAGACCCAATTACAAAACAGGTGGAAAGGAACAGATTCCACAAAAGATACACAAACGGCCAATAAGCACGTGGGAAAATGCTTGACAGCATCAGTGATGGAAAGAAATGTCAGTTAAAACCACTAAAGTGATTTATGGCAGGTCTCGGCCCTGGGCCTCACATAGTGCCCCATGCCAGAGTCAGCTGTGGCCCTGAACCATTGCCTGGTCTCTGCGCCCGTAGGCTGCAGGCACTGAAGCGGGTTACACATTGGGGGTAAAACAAAAGAAAACAAAACAAAAAACCCACTAGAATGACTAAATTGAAAAAGATTGATAACACCGAATGTCAAAAACGGGAAACAAGCCATTAGAGTCTTGGTGGCAGGAATGAAAAAAGACACGATCGCTTTGGGAAGCCTGCGGCTCCCTGCACAGTTAGACGTCTGTTCTGTGACCCGGCAGTTCCGCTCCTGGCCAGGTGTTAATGCCAGAAACAAAATCAGGGCCCGAAGGCCTTGCATGAGCAGGCTCTGGGGTCCCCCGCCCACCCTGCGCTGTGACCTAGAGACTCACTGGGCAGAAAGCTGGGGACGTTCTCGGCTCATTTACATGATCCCCACCTCAGGAAACACTGCCTTGTGCTGCCTGTGGGCCAGTGTCTGAAAACGACTGTTTCACAGGTTTTCTAGTTTTTTAGTTTTTTAAGGTGGTCAGTCTATCCCGTTTCTGTTAACCCCTCGCGGCCTGGAGCCAAGGCCCCTTCTGCGGTCTGCATCCCGCTGTGGGCTACGCTGGTCTGTTTGCCAAAACTTACAGAACCGACCGCTTATGATTTGTGCATTTCACTGTATGTAAATTACAACACAACAGAGTTAATTGGGGCTGGGGAGGCAGGTGATGGGAAAAATATACAACCTTCAATCTAGAAATCCCCTCTAGGAATTTATCCTAGAATGTTTTCCCACGTGTGAAAGATACATGATTTTCTCAGCAGCATTGTTGGCCATGGCAAACGGGGGCACCCTAAGTATTCATTAATGGGGAATTGGGGTGTCCTTTCAAAGGAATCCCTTACAATCGTCAACTCAGGTGAGGGCATCCATCCGGCCGGAAGTAGCAACAGCAGTGGCCACACTAGTGTGGGGGTGGAGTCCTGCAGCTCTGTCTGATCGGACTCACCTGTCACCTGGCATGTTCTTCTCTCCCTCAAGTCAGGGGGCTGCTTTTCTCTTAGGCGCATCTGCACCCCCAGTGGGTAACTGAGATAGCACTGTACCCAAATAGCCGCATTTGGTTACAGAAATCAGTCTCTCTCACTTTCTTTCCCTGTCTGTCTCTCAGTCTCTGTGTCTTTCTCTTTCTCTAAAAGACAAAGGATTTCCCCCAGAAGGTTGCTCTGCCCTAAAATACTTAAGCCGGCAAATTCTTAAGAAGAACTCTTTTAAGAATCATTAAGCCTCTAAAATGCTGCAGACCCTTATTTATCTTCAGAGCATTGATTGCAGGATCCATCAGATACAGTATTTAATCGCTTAATGTAATCAGCATGTTCCTGGGGGAAATGTGTAAATCAAATGATTTTTAATTTTTTAATTGGTGCTTTTTAATAACAGATGTTATGTTGTAAAAAAAAAAAGAAAAAAAGAAAAGAAAACATAGATAAGGAAAACAAAGAAAATCACCGTGGCAATGTGAACGTAATCTGGGTCGTGCAGGATACAAAGGGTCTCTTGTTAGTTTTGTTAGGTGTGAGAATGGCATTACGAACACATAAATGTCGTTTTTAAAGATGCATGTTGAAGTGGGTAGGGATAAACCTCAGTATTTGCTTTAAAATACGTTAGGAGAGAGAGAGAGGTCAGTTTTTTGGTTTTTTTTTTAAGACAATAGGTGAAGAGAATGAAGCAAATGTTGATAATTAATGAATCGGGGCAATGGATGTATAGAAGTTCATTATATTATTCTACTTTCGTGTGTGTTTTCATAATGAAAACTTTTTAAACAGCCACGAACCTCAAACACGAAGAAAATTGTTATTTTCTGATTAGTGTACATCCTATCAGAACAGTTACATAGGAATGCATTTTCTATTATATATCTAACATGCTATAAAACACTGCAACATTTTTAAAAATATACATACTATGCATTGAATGGATGTAACAGAATTTAATGAGGGATGTCTACAGCCATACCACCCTGAACAAGCCCGATCCCATCTGATCTCAGAAGCTAAGCAAGGTCGGGCCTGGTTAGTACTTGGATGGGAGACCACCTAGGAAGACCAGGCCCTGTAGGCATAAAAAATAAAAAAATAAAAGATTGTAAACTGACAAGGTCCTTGCAATCTGTGAGGTCAACCAAGGGTTGCCTCGCCTAAAAATTAAAAATAATAACAAAAAATAAGAACTTAATTTAGTTCGTTTCCAATTTTTCACAGTCATAAACAACCTTTCAGCAAACATTCTCACATTGAATCTTGTTGCACAGCTATCGTATCCTTAAGACAAAGGCCTAGGAAGGCGATTTCCGGGTGAAAAAGTGTTTCAGCACCAGGGGGAGCCGGTCACCTATGGGATGCCCCCCGGAGGTGTTTTAAAAAGCAAACCCACGCCCTATCCCTTGGCGGTGGAGCCTGATGATGGCGGTGGAGCCTGATGATGGCAGTGCCAACACCTGAGCGCACAGCTCCTCAACGATGGCTGGTAGCCAGATTAGGACCGCGAAGACCTCTGACGGAGGCAGGTCAACTGTCCCCATCTCGATGTCCTCCCTTGCGGCCTGGTGAAAGCCTGGCAGGGCCCTCAAAGCCAGTCATAGGGTCGACGTAACCACAAGGCTGCGTATAGAACAAGAACATACCAGAAAGAACCCTCTGATCGCCGAAACCTGCCCAGTGAGGAGTAAAGACGTCTCCCCCGACGGGACTCTGGTGTGCGTGGTCACCCCACCCAGCTCACCCTCTCGCACAGAATCTCTCAGTCACAAAATTGGCATATGTCCATAAATGTCCATTTAATCCAGCACTGTCCATCTTGGTAAGAGGGCTGGGTACCAGGCATCGTTTAGGAGCTGTGCGCTCAGGTGTTGGCACTGCCATCATCAGGCTCACCGCCATCATCAGGCTCCACCGCCAAGGAATAGGGCGTGGGTTTGCTTTTTCAAACACCTCCGGGGGGCATCCCATAGGTGCCCAGCTCTCCCTGGTGCTGAAAACTTTTTCACCCGGAAATCGCCTTCCTAGGCCTTTGTCTTAAGGATACGACAGCTGTGCAACAAGATTCAATGTGAGAATGTTTGTTGAAAGGTTGTTAATTCAGGGCTCCTTGAGTGCTGCCCGAGAGACACATTTGTCAGGAAGGGTGCAGCAGGGCTGACCTCCCGACATTCCGGCTGGTCACAGATGACGGGGGAAGGGACAGATGCACCAAGGCCAGGAGCGGTGGCGGCACCAACTCCTTGCCCCCAGGTGGACAAGTTTCTCAGACACATTAAATGCCGTCGCCTTCCGATCCAGAGCCATTTCTAGATGGAAGTGCTGGCACCGCCCGGGGCATGTCACTTGGGTGAGAATGGCCCCAGCTCAGGCTCCTGGTTGGGCATGTGGCCCAGGCCCGGGGACCCTGGCCCCAGGGATAGGCTCGAGGATGGCACATGACCAGCTCTAGGCCAACGAGACCCACGCAGGTTTTCGCTGGAAGCGTGGAAAAGCAGATCACTGTCACAGGAGCTGCGACCCTCACGGCATCGCCATGGACAGTGTGCGCCTGTGGCTTTGGACTTGAACTGGAAACCCTCTCTTCATCACATACTGGCCTTGTGACTTTCTGAAATTCTTAGCATCGCTATTTGGCTTCCTTGCCTGTAAACTGGGCCAAGAATAATTTCTACCTTACGGGGTTATTGTGGGCTTCACGTGACGTGACACGTCAACGCACTAGGCACGGAGCCTGGCACGTCTCGTTCCATGACGTTGGCTGGCTGGAACTGTCCACACCCTGAGGTGTGGAGGCAGCGGGCTGGCATCTCGCTAAGCCTGTTGGTCCACAGCATCACTGTTCTCTCTGCAAGTCTCACTTGGGACGAAACACACGGGCCCTAATCAGTTTAGGTGTTGGGCACTGCACGTGGGCTTCTGATTGGGTGGGATTAGGGCCTGATGGCTGTCATTTGTGAAAAATAACTCCTCCACCACAATGGACACTGAAGGTCCTCTCCAGTGTCACACATTTTAGTTTCTTTGCCACCTAAAGCACAAGGAACAACAAAGAAAATAGATAAACTGGCTGGAGGATGGAACGGTGGGAGTAAATGATAATGGGTTTGGAGTTTCTTTTGTGATGAAAATATTTTCGGGTAGTTGTGATGCAAAACCGAATATACTAAGCCTTCCCCCCAACTGTTCACCTTTTTAAAAGGTATATTTAATGGTGTGGAAATCACATTACAGTGAGGCTGTTCTAAGATTCTTTGTGCCAGTGATACTGTGTCTGCTTTTTCTCCAGACAGGTTCTCTGCAAAGCAGAACAAGTAGGCTGAGTGAAACAGACCCTAACAAGGTCTGACCCACCCATTCCACACGGTTTCCTTGGCTATCATCAAGAAACCCAGGTAGAATTCAAAGAAAGACTACACTGAACGACTGTTTTATAAACCTTTATTGGAAAGGCTACAAACTTTATATTGCCACTGCATTTCTTACGCTTCAAGTGGTTGTGGGGAAGTAACCTTGGATACAAAACTACTATGCTGTTGAATCTCGCCCAGGCTGGTTGTAAAATATTTTTTGTACAGCGGAGGTAGAGTGGATAGGACAATAATTTAAACCTCACGGCCCTTGATTAATGCCAGGACACTTTTTTTTTTTCCCATTCGGGTTCTAACAGACCTAGAAATAAACTACAAGTATTATATTTAGGCTCAGGGATGGCATAGTACATTTAAAATCTTTAGTTTTCAGTTTCCCCCATTTGTTCTTGTACAAATGTGAAATGTAAAACTGATGGTCTCTCTTCCCCAAAATTAAAGTGTGTTCTAAAAATATCTATTCTGGGAATGAAAAGAAGGCAATAGAAGATGGATAGAGCAACACATCCTTTTCATGTAGTTTCACCTGATTTTTCTCATATCAGTCTGAGTCGTACGTTTCCATAAAACATTAGTAATAACCAGTGCTTCCCCCAGTCTCAAATACTGAACTTAATGGAGACAACCTTTAACTATAACATTTAATGAAAACAGAGCGTTGAACAGGTTCTATGCAGACATGGTTTCAATATCGATTTACTGTTACCTTATTTTAAAAAGAGGGTGGTTGGGGGGAGGTGCAGGCTGGGTCGCCCTGGCCCCAGTGCTCAAGCCACCGACATATTAAACTTTCTTTTGCTTCTTTAAAACTATACAACGGGCATGTGCCTGAAGCATTAGCTGCAGGCCAATGGGTTTCTAAGAGCCACTTAAGAATCAGAACTAAGGGCACATTCTCCAGTTTAAGGTTACACTTTACAGTTCAAAATGTGTTCTTCCTTCTAAAAATGTGACACAAAGAAATAATTTACACCACTGCTTTTTATTATCAAGTTTCAAAAACCTTTCACAAGATGGTAAAAAAAAAAAAAAAAAAAAGAAAAAAAAAAAAGAAAAACTTTACAACCACAGCTAATGTAATGTTTTCCATTGTTCCCAGTCAGCTCCAAACCCATTGTGTGCAAAGCCCATTTTTTTCCATGCACCTAAATGATAGATACAGGCTATGAAATTCTTTATTCTATTTGTAGCAGCTTATGCAGGTGCAGCCAAACACAAAGCTTCAGGACAAATTGTACACAAACTTTACAATGTGGGATTTGAATTTAAAATATGAAACAAAAAAATAATCTACACGAAACCGATAAAAATCAAGCACAGATGCCAGGACTGAAACTTAAAACCCATGTGTGAAAGGGAGTCTTATTTCCTTTCAAGTGCTTTATTCTGCTACGGAACAGTCGAAATGAAGATGTAAAGCTCTGTGGTTAGTTTAAATTATACACTCTGTAGATATTATACCAATTTTAAAAGTTACACATAGACCAACAGATGTCCATCAGCTCATCTGGACTGACCAGACCCTCCAGCGGGGTCGCTGACAACAAACCAGGCAGACGTGGAAAGAAAATCCACTTGTGCAATCGGTCTGCAGAGTTTACTGATGGGCACATTGCACTCCGGGTCCGTGATGGCTGCTGCTCTCCTCATCGGAGCTATCGTTATAGGCTTCACGCCGCTGGCCACCTCCTGAGCCCCGAGTGCTGTCAAATTCCTGAAGCTCTACCTCCTCCGTGTCTCCAATTATGTTTGGAACTTCCGGTCTAGAGGGCAGAAGATCTTCTAGTTCCTTCATTAAAAGGAACAAAAATAAGGTTAGTGGTCAGGTATCTTCATTCGCCTTCCTCTGACACCATCCGAGCTGCAGGCCTCTTTGAGAGTTAAAATGGATGTGTCTGTACTTTAAGCCAGACCACAAACTGATGACCCAGAGGCCAAATCTGCAGGCATCTTTTGTGCAACCCATCTGTCGCTCAGGAAAAAAACAAAATTAGCTGCCAACGTTTAAACACTGGAAAATTTTATACCAGACGCGCCTTTAATCCTGCACGGAACTGCCAGCAGATGCTTAGCTGGAGGGCTGCCGTCTCCAGGTGAGGGCTCTGCTCCCCAGGGAGCCCCAACCCTCCCACCGCACCACACCCAGGCCACTTTACCCTACTGGTCCCTGGCTGGCCCCAGAAAGGCTTAACCAGCAACTCTCATTCTGATACCAGGACAGCCCATTAATCACTCAAATATTTAAAAAGCGTATTATAAACTGTGTGATCTTAAAATCTTAGCACCAAAAACAAGTGGAAAGTGACAAAGAAACACAATTATTATTAAACCTTAAGTCATCTGTTGTTTAAATGTAGAGAACACTTACAGAAAGCTTGTCTGGGTTGATCCAGTTGTTTTCAGGAAACTGTACATCGAACTTTATGTAAAGATCACCTTTTTCAAAGGGGTTACGATACTGTGGCATCCCTTCGCCGCGAACTACACGGACACATCCTGTTATTTGAGTATCAGAGAAAGCATTAAGAATTTTATCCAAGAAGAAAGGTTCTCAACAATATTCTTTTATGAGTCACCTGTCGCCTACTATAAAAAAATTTCAAATTGTGAAAGAGGACATGGAACCCCAGATCAGACAGAAATCAAGACGCACCTGGCTCGATGACTTTGCCAGGCGGGTATTTCACCACAATCTGACGTCCATCAAGGTGCTTGAATGTGAACTGAAATCCACACAGAGCTTCGACAAGTCCAATCTTATATGTCATGTGCAAATCATTCCCATCTCTCTGGAACACCTACAAATAAAACGTACAAGAAAGGTTTTTTTAAAAAAGTATGGAGCCGTACGTACTCTTGTACTGTGTTCTCTGAATCGATTTCAAAACCTTAATTCCACCATTCACTTCAAGAGCCAAAGTGCCACTGTTTCTAATTTCCTAAATTTAAATAAGGAAATGTAGCTATTCTCAAGTAATAAGAAACTTTTATGAGGCAAACAATGGCTCATTAGGCACAGCTGAGGCTCCAAAAACAGAACCGGGTAGGTTCTGCCAGCCCATTCCTTTCCTGACCCTGCTTCCGAAGGCCCAGTGGGATTCTGTAGAACCGGTTCACCTGGAGCACTCCCCAGACATGATTCTAACAAGGGAAGGGGAGGGTCCAAGTTCAATGTAAAAAGTTCAACCAGTAATGCTCGGCCAGTAAAGGCGCTTAAATCCCATGCTTTACACACGTACAAACAAGCTTTATCTCAAATAAAATTCAAAACCTGCTTAGATAAATGTAAATCAAACAGAATAGGTAACAGCAAAGGTTATTCAGTAAACAAAGAATGTTTCCGTTTCCAATGTGTAGAAAAAAATACATCCAATTTCACACATGCCGAGATTTTCTTTTGCTTATAAGAATTTACAAATATCTATATACTTAACTTTTGAAATTTAAGATGAAATAAAATTAACTGCAGTGAAAGGTCACCTGGTTTTTTTCTCAATACAACTCTCTCTTCCAAAGAATGCCGGATGCTTCATGCAGAGGAGAGAGAGAACCTGAAAGATACCCTCTTTCCTTAAATTATCCTCCTAAATTTAAATTTACCCACGAAAGGAAGTTCATCTGAAACCATGACCGTGTCTAGTGGTCCCGGCCAGCAGCCTCGGCAGCACCAGGAGACCTGAGTCACCCTTTACCGGGTGTCCCCAGGGCAAAGCTGTGCCAGCAGCAGGGGCAGAGGAATATGCCATTCTTGGACCGGAGAGCTCGACTTAGAGTGGCTCCAACAACAAATGGTATCAGGGTTGTTTTGGGGCCAGGAGGTGGTTAGGCTAGTCAATTTGATATCAAAACTCAGAAAATAAACAAGCAGGAACAAGGAGGGAATTTATGAAAAACCAAAACAAAAAAACAAGATTAATGAGGAGGGCGCTATCAAGAACCAGACAATCAAACACTTAAAAGCTATTGTAATTTCTGAAAAATTTAAGTACAGAGTACAAAAGAGAGACTAGCATCACCAGACACTGTGGTTCTTTGCTACACTAATGCACCATGGTAGCCAGTGTGAACCAACACACGTGCTGAAAAGATGAACACACGTGACATATAGCATTCTCAAAGTTGAATGTTTTTTGAACAAAAGATTTATACTGTCTCAGATATCGCACTCATCCCGATCTTACGGCCTCACAATTACTTTAGCACGAGTTTTGGGAGTGGGAAAATAAAGAAAGCCCAAAACAAAATAACTACAAGCTTTTTCATGAACTAGTTCAAACTAGTCACATTTTCTTCAGAAGGTTCAGAATATTTTCAATGGTATAAATTAAACAACGGCCTAAATCTCATCTTGGACCCCAACTTACTTTACTGGTCATAATAAAGCCAAGAAGGAACGACCTTTGTCCTCTTCCTGCATGAACTTCCCTTCTAACCTTTACCAGTTCCTACTTTCCACCTCCAATAACCAGTCACATCTGCTGTCTGTTGAAAATTCCATGCAACTCCACCACTGCCAACGATTTGAAGGGACTTACTTCCCAGCCCCAAAGCAAGCAAGCTGGCTGGTTTCCTTACTTGATTCTGCAACGGCCATCTGGGAGAAGACAAATTTGGTTTTCAGTTAAGCAAGCCAAGCCCAGGGACCCAAAGCCAGTCAACACGAGTCAGAACAAGGCCCGAGTCTCCAAACCCAGGGATCTCTATTTTTAAACTCCCATTTCATGACACGGCCTCACTAAAGACTGAACTTTGCAGGAAGATTCCGCCACTGGTTTGACGCGCCCAACACCAATGACATCACGTCTCCTCCGAGCAAGGAGCGCCTCTCACGCCTCCACTGCGCTCACCGCTGCATGGCCAGGCCTCCTGCGACGACGGCCCTCGGACGCCCGCGACGTAGCGATGAGAACACTCTCCCAGTCTGTGCTGTCTTACGATACGGCACACTCCACACCCCCAGGTGGACTGGATCGATCCCTGGGCTGTGCATCTTTCTGCCTTGTAGGCCTTGCACGCTGCTGTGCGTGGAAGGCAAGACTGAACGCATGAGGAAGTGGCTAAAATGCCAGAGAACCTTAGAGAAGAGCTACGAATATTCCAACCTGTAAGACTTTAAGGGGCAGGATCCGTATCGCAAGTGCTACCTCTGCAGAGGTTAAGAAATCTGACCAGGACACCCTGAGAAAGCCCAGTGCGCGAGAGCCACACACACCTAGTGCAGGACCGAGTCTCATCAAACTCCCAGACTCCGCATCTCAGTGTGGCTTTATTCTCTACTGGATGCTTAAAGTGATTTAAAATTTTACTTTATTAGGAGAAATCACCACCAAATGGAAAAAACATTTAATGTCAACTAAAAAGGAGGCTGACCTGTGATGTTCCTTTCAGAGGAACTTGAGTCAACGTGATCAAGCACAGAGCCAGAACCCTCTTGAATTCTTCTATGGTCAAGAATGTGGGTGCTCACTCCAGGGACGTTTCCTGGAGAGCTCGCTGATGTTCATGAACAGGGGCCTACACTCCCCGCCACGGCACATTAAACACCAGCATGGCGGTGTCCCGAAAACACTCACCCGACCGCATCGCGTCATCAGACCAGCTAACTCTGCCTTGTGCGTAACAGATACAATACATACCCAATCAGAAGTTTAAAAATAAAAAAACCCGCAGAACCTTCTCTTTCAAGAAAAGCTCACTTGGACACCCAGTATGTAAAACAAACCCAAAGAGCAGCACTGAGGACAGAAGCCTCGTCCACCCACCACCCAGCAGAAGTTCCACTGTGAAGCACGAGCTGCCTTATGTCGTCTGGTCCAGTGCCCTTATCTTCATACACGAGGAAACTGGGGTACAGAGACAACGGGACTTCTTAAGTTTATGGCGCTGGTCGATGGCCACGCTGGGACCAAATGCGACCGCCCCAGAGCTCCTGACCGCACGTGCCGTGGTGTACAGAACAAGGCAGCTCGCATGAGCTCGGCCTGACCACTGAGCCGTGTTGCTCCAGGGAACCCAAACAGATCTAACCTGTATGTTGCACGCAAGACACGTTGTTGAATAAAACAAAAATAAATCCAACAAAAAGGAAATTACCTCATGTTCTTTCTCTTGTAGCAAAAGAACAATGTCTCCTGGTTCCACGCCCGGGGCCTGGTCGGCTTCCCCAGTGAACGTAATTCTCTGCCCGTGCTTCATGCCTTTGTCCACGTGGACCTCCAGGATCTTGACTTCTTTGATCACCTTCTTCCCTTCGCACTTTTTACAGCGGTCTTTTTCGTTAATCACCTCTCCTGTAAAGAGAGGGCATCGACTTCCATTATGCTCCTACGTCAGCCAGGTCTCCATGATGCTCTTATTCATTAAATACATTTTCTGGACTTCCTTTGATAGCTACCTAAAGATTTGTTTAAAGCATCATTCACAACAAAAGCTCACATCTCGCTGCAGGTTACCTGAAGGGCCCAGCCGCTCAGTCTCCTCTATTTGAGTAAAATGTATCTTAAAATACCTTCGTGGCTCCTGACTCTACTTCCTAAAGTTAAAGAGAGCCTACAGGTCAAGGAAACAATGGGCAGCCAGATGCTGGAGCTTCTACAAACGCGTCTTTGTTTTTTGTTTCGGTGCGAGTTTCCTTTAACGATAGATGGAGAACACAAATAAAATTTCAAATGTCCTTCATGGCTCATTATTACACTGTACGGTCGGTGCCGGATGTCGTTTATTTCATGGAATGACAGCTGCTCAGGCGTCCTGCACGGCTTTCACCTTTACTCAGGTTCGCTATCGCAGAACTCCTGACGCCACCTGCAGATGGCTGCACTTAACTGGTGTGAGTGCCTCCATACCGTGTGTATGACGACACGGTTTTCTTTCTACATATTTCTCTGAAAAGTCTGATGAGTGTATAACAGAGTAAAACTGAAGTTGTACACAATAGATTATTAAAAAAAAATGGCGTCAATTTCTGATGGCAGATTATTGGCACACTTTGATGCTTAGACGTTTAATTAATGACTTCAGGGGCTGTTTCTAGAATGCTTACTTTGCAACGTATGTTCTAAAAAACATCAGTTCCTCAAAACGGTAATGGTGCATGGGAAGATTTCGGTCAACTCTGGTCTGACAGCACGAACTGCTAGCAACTGTAAGAAGGTAACATGCCCCAAGACTCCCTAGGATGGTAACTAAAGAATCTGCACCGTCTCCAAATTATCTCGTCACTTCCAGAAGCAATCTGGAAAAGGATGTTCTAAAACTGTGCTGTCCAACATGGCAGCCACTAGCCATCTGTGGCTATTTGTTTTATTTTATTAAAATTTAAAAAATTTTAGTTCCTCAGTCACACTAGCCACATTTCAAGTACTCAGAGCTAGTGGCTACTGCCCTAGACGCTGCATATACAGAACATTTCCACCATCACAGAAAAATTCTTTTGGATAGCACTGCCCTAGGACAAGAGTTGGCAAACTAAGGCCCACAGGCCCAGGAGGGCATGCCTCTGTCTGTGCTGGTAATGTGTAACGGGAAGACGGTCATGCCCGTTTGTTTCCGTACTGTCTGTGGCCATCAAGCCCTAAAAGGCAGAGGTGAGCAGTAGTCTCAAGAGCCATTCCGCCCGCCAAGCTTAGAACAGTCACTTCTGTAAGAAGAGCTTCAATCCCAGTGTCTAGTCTCAAAAGCTAACTAAAGCTTACAGTAAAATCCTCCACTGATCTGGATGGTAATTAAAATTTGCTGTTTCCCTCTTTATCAAATATCACCTTTTAAATATAAAAGGACAGAACAATGCCCGTTTTTGGAATTAAAAAGGAAGAACATAATACAAAGTTACTGTTTATCTGTGTTCACTGAGCCTGTGCATGATAAAATAATTATTTTCACATTTTTCTTTTAGAACTCTGTAGCTTTTAACAATAAGACGAATACAAACACGTTGAAAAAGAAAGATCGGGAGCCTCCTCGATTCCTACACTCCCAGCCCCGCCCCACCCCCGCCCTCAAAGCGGAGTGCTGGCACGCGTACCTTCGCCGTTGCAGTCGGCACACACAGACTGCATCTGCTGCACCATGCCCGGAGCCAGCTGTCGGATCATGATGCGTACGCCTCGACCCCGACAAGCGCTGCACTTCTGAACAGCTCCAGACTTTCCACCTTGGCTAGAGCAAGCAAAAGCACCCATCAGATTTTTGCACACAGACCATTCCAACAGGCCATTACAAAGACGAATCCCTCTTTTCATCTTTGACTGAGTTCTTCAGCCCCCAATGACTGGTCATTTAGCTGAGTTTCAGATGTGTCAGAGAATGTTCTGTGTTGGGTAGTTAAGTTTCGAGTCATGAACAATTTTTATCTGGTAGAGACTCTGTGCCACTGAAAGAACAGAAGATTTATTTCATAAACCAGAACACGCACTTACCCACTGCACGCACTACAGAGCACATTCTTGCTAAGTTGTAGTTTGGTTGTCTTGCCGTTATACAGGTCTTCTAAAGATACTCTAGGGAGAAAAGAATTAGGTCCAATCAAGTTCTCTTAAGTACCAGATATAAACGACAGCTATTGGTGGGAGTTCTACTATAAGCTTTTAAAACGTTCAAAAACACATCAAGTCAACCGACTGAGGTTTTATTTTGTGGATCAAAATAGGAGAAAGATTTCAGGGCTATGAACAGTATATGGTACTCAGAGCCAGAATCTACAGCATCAGGCCAACAGTTTCCAGCGCGGCGTTTTCTGATAAAGCTGATGACTGCACAAACCCAAAGCATCACAACCTTATTCTGGCTTCAGGCAGGAGCTGTCCACCTAGTCCAATCCTCTGAAGGAGGTACAATTATTATCCCCATTTGACAAGACAAAACTGAGGCACGGAGAGGTTAAGTAACTTGCCCAAGATCCCAGAGGTAGTCTAGCTCCAGAGTCCATGCTGTTACAAGGCTCTGCTCCAAGGACAATTTAGAAAAGCAACAAAGTCATATTACAACTTATGGGAGGCACTCAGATTATGCATGTCTCAAAAAAGGCCTTATCTACAATGTGATAATAAGGAAAAAAAACACGTTTTCAACAGTCAACAAGTTTTAGAGCTCTGAAGTACCCAGTGAGTTATAAGCAAAACTGTGGAACTATTTTCCCCAAATTTTCAAAGAGGTCTATGATCCAAAAGAGGTTGAGTTAAAAAAGTCCACTAAAAAAATACAACTGATAAAACCCAACTCGCCTTTACTCATATAGCACATAAGAATTATAGGACCATTCATTGCCAAACAAACCTCGAAAAAAATGTACGCATGTCAAAAGTCTCAAAACTACTCTACATTTAGGATCTGGGTGCAATGCATTTAGTTTGGTCTTACGCTTCTCATTTTTTTTCAAATCTACCTTAGTAGTCCAGATTTACTTTTTAAAAGAGAACAACAAAAAATAGTTGGAAATATTTTGCAAAGCACCTATACTATTTGTGGCATTCACACTTTCTCAAAATCGTTATCTTAAGCTCTTAAGCTAAAACTTTATACATTCAGGCAGTATGAGAATAAAATACTTATGGATGAAACATTACCAGCACTTCCAAATACTGACATATATATAACCTAACCTTAGACAAAAGCTCTTGGTTGCACCTGTCTTTTAACTAAATTGTTTACAGAAAACAAACAGGTAGGTCTTTTCCCCTGACATATTAAATTACGGTCAGTATGCAAAACCACTAAATGAGGCCAGAAAAATCTTCATTTCGACAGACGTGGACAAGGAAGGGAAAATGTGGGTGATGGTCTGGCAGAGCTGGCACACCAGCTTCGCGCCAGTGGAACCAAACCGGCAGAATCCCTCATAAGACAATTTACTTGTATTTATCGGCCTCAAAACATTAACGCCTGCCTGTGAATCTGTGCCAAAGAGCAACAAAGCTGTATACAGAGATGCTCACAGCAGCACTACTATAGAAAAAAACTGGCAACTTCCTATAGAAAAGGTAGATGATTAAGTAAATCATGGAATGGAATATTATAAAGCCACCCAAATGAGATGTTGTCATAACGAGGACATTTTCAATAACGTTATAGCAGCAGTAAATAAAAACTGCATTTACCGTATAACATAAAAAACTTTTTTTAAAGAATATGAAGAACCATAAGGTACAACAAACACTCTCTGGATCCTATTTACTTTGTAGACAATTTCCATATCAAAGAAAACAATGAAAGAACTCAGGCTGCATGAGTATTATTCTTGGAATGATATCGAAATGATTTCAGAGGGTAAATTCTTTTAGAATACAAATCTAAGAATAAGACTCAAACAGTGTAACAGATTACGCTTTACTTTCTCTACTCCAATGTATAAACTAGATAATATGATTTATAAGTAAATACTTGAAATTCAGCCTCTAGCATTTATTTGCTAGTAAATTCATTATTAGCTAATAAATTAACAGGATAAAAGGCATCACACATTTGCAAAGTAAAACAGCTATTTTCATGTTGTAGAGGGCTCACGAGCTCGCAATCTAAGATCAAGGTCAGACATCATTCATGTGCTGTCAGGTTAATGTCAGGCTCGAAGCCAGCGAGCTCCATGGAAACCACTTCAGGAGAGTTCACACAGAGGATCAAGTAATGAGTGACTATCACATGTAAACAAACTAGGCTGACAGGTACTCACTTTGTAAGTTTTTAAATAAACGTAACCTGGAAGATTTTAGGACATCAAAGAGATTCTTCATTATTAAAATTTTAAATCATATAGTATCAAGCAGCTTCAGAAGCATATAAATCACTTTCCTACTCAGTAAAAACACCATCTTTAGCAAAATGCAAACGCCCAGGTTATCCAATGCAAATGAGGACAGTAGGTAAATGGAAGATTTTGTTTTCTGATGAAGGACAGAACACTTTTTGATACTTTTTCTCTTCTACTGTTACTATTTGAAAAAGAAGTACTTAAGTATTTTTTAAAAAGAAAAAGGTATTCACTTGAGTGGATGCATCATGTCTTCTCCTCTTCTTCTGCCATTTCGACTTCTACTCTGATTGCCCATGAAGCCGAACAATCCCCCACCAAAAATGTGAGAGAAAATATCATCCATGCCACCACCTCCGCCGCTACCTTCCCGAAGACCTTGTTCTCCGTATCTGTCATATAACTCGCGTTTCTCGGGATTTGATAGTACTTCATATGCAAAACTTATTTCTTTGAACTATAAAGAAAAAATAAAAAGGAAAATAATTGGATTTTCAAACGGAAGAGTGGGGGAAGGCTTCAGGAACCCAGAATTCACTTAATTCTAAAACATGCAAGTTGCCTTTGGTTTGATTCCGGTCCTGTTTATCACCTATCCCTGCCCAGAAGGTTAGTATTCCTATGACAAAACAAATACTCTTAACAGAAAAACTTGGCTCTGTGGCCTTACAACATTCCTCTTTTTAAGGAGGGCAACTTGACTTTAAAATGGGGGAAAGTCTCAAATAACTTACTTTGTCACCGGCATTTGGATTCTTATCAGGATGGTATTCCTTGGCTAACTTTCTGTATGCCTTCAATAAAAGATTAAAAAAAAAAAAAAAAAAGGTTACATACAAAGGCTGGTTTAAAGATTTGTAAGAACTTAAAATCCACTTTTCTGAGAAGCGCTGTTCTAAAATCATAACCTTCCAAAAATATCTTTTATTCATTGGGATTATTTGGCATTTTCCATCGTGATGCTGTTCACTCACTAACTTAAAGTAACAAAGCAGATGGTAGTTACACCTGCAAACAGGTTATACTCAAGCCAGACGGAAACAATGAAACACCGCCACGGAGAAAACCAAACTATTGAAAAAAAAATTCCGGATTTTCACTATTGCCAAATGTCTTCGATGGCCAGTAACCAGATCAAGAAGACTCCAAAACTCTAAAAAGAAATGACTATTAAGCTTTACAACCCGCAAACCTTGCTAACAATTAAGCACAGGTGAGAATCCCTGTTCATGCTGACTCCCCTAATCAGGAAAAGGCCAAGAAGTTCCCAGGTCATGTTTTATTTTCACATGGTGGACTAATCTGGGGTCTTAGTAACTGGAGTGACCTAGGTCTTAGGGAAGTTACATAAATTTAGGTGGCTGAGACATACACCACTTAAGTCTTCACTCACAGACACATGAATTATATAACAGAGACTAGCGTTTCCGGTAAGGTAACAGGAAGTCCATGTTACTCCCAACTGTCCCCGTCCCACTGCCTAAGGACCATTCTCATTTTTCTCGGCTTTCAAACCCGGACAGTCTCAGCCCCGTGAGGATGCTGCGGGGCTTCGAGGGCTTGGAAATCCTGAGATGCCAGATTCCAGCCCCGCGAAGAGCGACAGCGAGGCCGCCCATTTATTTTTAGTCGGCGTGCACTCAGGTGTTTGGCCGGGACCCACGGCTTCTTCTCGAAGCGGGTCCAGCCCCCTCAGATCACCTGCCCACGGAACAATGCACCCAAGCACTGACCCACGGGGCCTCCGGGCCCACCGGCCCGGGGGGGTGGGGTGGGGGGGAGGAA